CTTTTCTATTTTTCACAAGGGACCAAACCAGAATGCTAATGTAACAAAAACAAAAGTGTTTTGAATTAGCATTTTAGTTTGTTTCCTTGTGCTTGGAGAATAAATGAGCTCTTTTGTAAGGAGCAGAAACACTTCTATATTTGAATATATGAAATGCAGTAGGAATAACAACCAGTTATTTCTGTATATCCCAACATATTTTTGGTAACATTGTGTGTACCTCGGATGTCTCCTTTTCAGAGGCGTGATAGTCATTCTTCTAAATCAACTGAATTTCTGTCAACCAGAATAAAAGACTTTTCCTGTGTGAAATCTCAACATACAAAATTCCAGGATGTAGAAAGTCAGCCTTTTAAACAAGGTCATGCTAAAAATACCATATTTTCCAGATAATCTTGTTATACCTTAGCTTTCTGCAGGTATTTAAAAAAAATACATGTCGTTTTCAAGGACAGTGACTTAATTTTCCAATGTTGTGATGCTTTCTGCACCTTCACCCATCTCCAGAATTATATAGTGCAGGCCATCACCCTCCACTTAAAGCACAGGGCTTGGAAAAACTACCTGCAAGTCTGAAACTGATGTGAAAGACGACTTCTGATCACTAATAGGATCTGGGAGCGGTACCTTCATGAGAAACTGAGCACAATCATCCTCAGTCTCTTGGGAAGCGGTACTGAGTGCCCATCAGGATGCCATCCCTGCACCCAGCATGAAGAATTTGTATTTCATATCAGGGATGACTAGCAAAAATATGTAACTTTGTTTTCCCGTCACCCTGCCTTCCTGGGACAGAGTTCTCCAAATCTTTATCCCTCGGTGGGACAGGACTTTGAAGGATCCCACTTGTTGATCTCTCTTCTCCTCCTTTTTGGGGTGGGGGGAGGAAGCAAGATGAGCAACATGCTTACCTCTGCTGTTGCTGCCAGAGACAGTTGTGAGCAGTAGTAGTGACAAAAAACTCAATCCTTTAGCTCGTTCAGGCAAGTGAGGAAAAAGACTCCAATCTCTTAGTCCTTTACGCAGGACAAGATTCTAAAGGAGCGGTGGAGTGAGGATGAGAAGACGTGATGAGAGAAGTTTGGGTTTCTGGCTATCCGACTTAGTCCTGTGCTTAGTAGGTGTCCAGTAAACCTTTCTAGTCTTTTATCCAGTACAAAATTCTTTTTAAAGACGGTATATGTAAAAGGTGAGATTCTTACAATAACATTAGTTTGACCTCTATGCATATAGATAGTATTTTTTATTCTATTAAATCTGCAAATTTAAATGTATAGCATTTAAAAAGTACCCAGTGTCCAAAATGGCTGAGTTGGCATTGCTGTAGAAACACAAATATTTATATTTTCTGCCTCTTCATTTTAACTTTGCAACCTGATATGTTGCATGTAATTTCTCTTTAAGGAGAGGGGCAATAGTGATGGAAAAGTTGCCTGTTAACATTGGCATTTACAGGGACATAATTAAATGTGGCTTTTCACATCACACATAAATAGGGTAAGGATGCAATTAAATGGCAGCAACATGTGATGGATGTAAGACTTATGTCTTGGCAAAAGCCTTTACCTCCGAGTAACAACCGAAGAATTAGTATTGTTTTTCATGGTCAGGTGGCATTGAGGAGGAGGTGGGAAACAAATTAGAGGGGAAAGAATTGAGTGGAGGCATCTGACTGAAGGAATGCAGGTGAAGTTTCCTTTATAGACCAACGTGGTGCAGTCTGTATGCAGTCTTAATGCACTGCATTAGAAATAAGTAAGATAGATTTATTATTGTTGCAACTGTAGTGGTACTTCTTACCAGAGTGCTTCATAAAACAGAGATTTGTTATGTACATAGAGAAGGTGCTAGTAGATGTGGCTCAAGAATATGCAACGTTTGTACTTGTACACTGCAGGTGGGTTTTTGTTAGCTCTTCACATGAAGATCTTAACAATGCTGACCATTGTTATTTATTTATTTATATATTTATTTATATATATATATATATAGCCACAATAGAAGCTTCCTTCATAAATAGTTCAACCGATCATACTTTTATTTCACCCATTACTGTCCTATCTATGTACCACACAATCTTTCTAATGTATTTTTTCCTCTTCTCACGTCTGTGAGCCAGAGAAGTACTACTATCCCAGAGAAATGGGGGAACTGAGGCACAGAGAGACCGAGCGACTTGCCCCAAGATCAGACAGGGAGTCTTCCACAGAACAGGGAATTGAACCCAAGTCTACAGAGGCCGAGGCTAGTGCTCTAGCTCCTGGGCTATTCTTTCCTACTCAGCAATGATGAGTTCGCTACTAGCTATTTCAAGTCTGTCTTAAAGATAGCTTAGCAGAATACCATTTTTTTTTTTTGGTAATTTTGATGGATAATATAGATGTTTATTTTTAAACTTTTCTTTTTAAAACTTTCATAATTGTAGGACATTATGGGGCCATCAGTCAAATTAATGACATTTGTTGTGATTCAGAAAGTTAATGCTTTTGAGTTAACTGTTAAAACACCATTTGTCAACCTTACATGGCAAAATATACAAAGTAAATATCCTTAAATCAAACTCTGATTTCTAACTTTGCCTGTCTGTTAATTTTGATTATCATTGATGGAAATATTTTTTCAGTTTGTGTGTGTGTGAGTGAAATTGACATTTGCTGATTAAATGCCTAATCCTTACAAGCCTGTTTATAGACCACACTTTATCATAGGATTTTATAGCAAGTTGCAAATGTTAACCCATTTTAAGCTAGACACTAAATGACTGACCAAGCCTTCCTCAGTTGACAGCTCCAGCTATTTGCCAATACCCAATGACAGTTGGTTCAGCCCATTAACCCTGTGACCCTCTTGTAATTGCCACTGACTTGACTCTTTCCCTTGCCCTTGAGGCACTTTGTTACAGGCACTTCCTCATTTTCCCCAAAGGCATAACAATAACCTACATGTTCTCATCACTTTCCTTTTAATGATTAAAGTTTTCATTCATAGATTGAAAATGACACCTAATGTTTGTAGTATTACTTTCTTTCCCCACTTATATACTCATATAAATGCTTCAGAAGACCGAAGTGCAAACATTAACCCCTGTGCCCCAAATCCCACAGGTTGTGGATTTAGACTCTTTTTTTCCCCTGGAAAAGAATTATTGTTCCTTCAGCCCCTTTCAATCCCCAAAAACTGATTGCCATGTTGACTGAATTATTGGCACTCTGCCTGTGACTCAAAGATCATGAAATGCTGCCATTGCTGTGATAGTCACAGTTCTGGATGGGAAAGCCAGCTAGTATAGTGAAGGAGACCCAGGACTGGCATTACAGAATCTGTTTTGACTCAGCTACAGCCTGATCTTTACTTGTTGTAAATAGACTAAGCCTGCGAGTGCCAGTTTTGCCAGGTTCAGGTGTCTACAGCTTCCGCTGAACTAATGCCTTTCTGTATACAATACTTAGCTGTTTTTTATTTTTTAATACTTATGCTTTAAGGAAACCTAAAATTGATTAGCCAGCAAATGATGTGATTCCAATGCTTACTTTGCTGTAAAATTCAGAAGGAAATGGGAAAGGGCCATTTATAAAATCAATATAATTTTCTACTAAAGAAAGGTTGGATGTCACTGTTACATCACTCTATGTCCTGATTTTGTACTGCAGACTGGCTTTTTCTTTCTGCGTTGACTGACCACATCTGGACCCTGGTCAATAGTTTGAGGACACATCTGGTATTAATCACTTTTATAGACATGTGGTTGTATTTATGTAATACTTTATTAGTAAAATGTTCTAGACATTTTTCATTCATTTTCCTTTCTTAAGGACTTACTGGGTTTAATTACTTGAAATTACTTTGTTATAGATGTTTGTTTATATATTTTTGTATTAAATTGTTCAGTAATGACACATTCAAAACATGTCTGTATTTGATAGCTTTTGCCTTTGATCCATCTTGTTCAGGTCTTCCTTCAACCTCTCTAGTTTGTTCCTTAGTTAAATATTGTTAGGCATTGATTCTGGCAACAGGAAGTGGCTAACTACAGGACTACTCATATACATGTACACAATCAGGGGGCCGTAGTCTCTTACTTGAAACTCTGGGTGGCTTGATGCTGTAGTCTAGAGTTGGTACAACAGGCATATTTGAAATCCCAGGTGATATTATGTGTAGTTGAAGTGTGGTCTGTGCACAGAATTGAGATGAAAGAATTCCAGGCTTTGGCTCTTGTTCCGACTTTGTGCCCTTGGGCAAATCACTTAATCTTTCAGCCATACTTATCACACTTGGGAATAGGTGTAACTGTGTACATAGATGCATATTTTATCAGTGCATGACACTTAGCACAAAGTGTCATCTGAGAACAGGTTTACTTGATATTGTAGCAACAGAGAAATAGTGTGGAATCTGTGTGGTAGGGTTGGATAAATATTGACTTAATAGTTATTGCCACTGTACATCAAACATGTGCAGGATGTGGTGTGGCATAATCACTTGATTGGTGAGAGTTTGGGAAGACTGCATCTCCGGCAGATACTAAAATTGTGGGTCATTCCAGTCATCACAAATAATGTAATGGTGTAACCATTTCCCCCCTGCAATCTTTTCTTTTAATTATTTATATAGTAAAACTAAATTGATATTCAAGTCTGGATACTCAGGTGAATTTCCACTAAAGTGCTCCAGAGAACAGTTTCACAATGTGGTTGAGGGAAATGCAGTTAATAGCTCTTTTTTGGTGATGTGGGGGAGCCCTGATTTTGCTATCTGAAAACAGGACTAAGAACTCCCTTTAATGCTCTTGGGAGACACAAGTCTTGAATTGAAAGTCCTAACATTTGTCTTTCTAGATTCCCTGCAGTAGGGAAGAGGCTTACTTAGGATAGAATCTTTTGAGCACGTGATGAGAATTGTGGGGAGCTCCTACAACTCATGTATGCCCAGAGAAAGGAGGTCAGATCTATTGGGATGACTGATGTGCTCACGTTTGTCTCTCTCTTTCTTCTCCAAAGATAGAGGGTGGAAAAGTCTTGCAAAAATTAAAAGGAAGAACAGAGGAGGAATGCCCGATTCATGCGCAGATTGCAGCATACCTGAATGCCCCCAAGACAGAGTCAGCTCAAGATTCCAAAAAATGGATGTCCATAACTTACGATATAGTGAGTTTCAGTTATTTTTTGCAAGAGTGCTTTTCAAAAGCATGAACAATAATTTACTTTCCTTAATAGCTGAGTTAATACATATTCACTTTTATTTCCTATTTGTTCTGTGTTTTTTTTGTTTGTTTTGTTTTGTTTTTCTTCTCGTCTCCCCCCTACCCTCCTTGTAACCTTAACGGTATGATGGAAATACTCTTTGGTTGCATTGTGTTTAAGGGTATATCCTTTGGGACACTGTTCATTAAAGAGAATCCATCCCTTATATGTGGAAGAATCAATCCCAATGTTCATTTCAGAACAAGTTTGTTTTGGTTTCCCAATCATGGTGACAGTGTAATTGGCCCTTTTCTGCCTTTCTCTCATTTGTCCCCATCTGATCATATTTAGTCACAGGGTTTAATTTACTAAATACATGCTAAGAATTTGAAGATCTGCCTTTCCACCCTACTCTCTCTTCATCAGAGTCTGGTTGATTCTCTGATCTCTTCTGAGATGTTATGCTGCCAATGTAAATTTAACATGTTAAATACAGAATGCCGTCTCTTCTCAGACTCTTCCCCCCTCCTCCTTTTACTCACGGTTTGCTATTCCACTCTCCTTCCTGTCCCTCAATATTCAAAGATGCTTCCATTGTTTACTTCTGTCTTTTCCTCCCTGTCGCCTCAGTTATCCCCTCCCCCCCCCAAATGCTATATCCTGCTGGTGTATTCTTTCCAATGCATCTCAAAAATCTATTTTCTCTTTCTGTTCTCTTTGCTTGTTGTTGCTTTTAAAATCCTTCACAACTTATCTTGTTCTCTGCTTCCTCTGTCGTCTTCTGGTCCCCACATGCCCCCTTACTTCATCCTACACCACAGATAACAATCCCTTCACGTTTTTCACTCTTGCCAGTGGCTTCTTTCATGAATCTTTTCTCCCTCTTGTTCCTTCCCGCCCCCCACCTTGAATTCTTTCCTTCACCTGGTCTTTTCTGCATTCACATTCTCTTCAAAGTCCCTCCTTAGCACATTTTGTACAAAAGGTCTCTAAACTCTAGTTCTCTTCCCCCAAAGAAATGTTGACTGCCCAAGCTACCACACCATGGCAAAAAAAATAAACCCTCCTACTAAATATCATGGAACCTGTGTGTGCAACTCACTCAGAAGTTGGAATATCTTACTACCTGTTGCTGGGTTTTTTTCTTAACTTTTACCTATTCATTTTGTGTTGAAACACAAAGTTCTTTGGGCCCACACTCTTGTGTCTCACTATTCTATGGAGTGTCTAGCACACTGTTGTTGGTGCTGTCAAAATAATAGCTGAGGTATTGGCCAAGGATAAATCTGAGTCAGTTGGGGAATGCATAAAGCCTATTCAAATGAATATAAATTGCACTTGTAGATAAGAGAAAGCACAAGTAATTTAATAAGCTTAAAGATTTGCCAATAAAGATGTATGCACTACGTAGCTTCCATAGGCTGTGAGCATGCTCCTTGCATTCCTCCACCCCTCCCCCAAATTCCCTGGGTGCCACCCTCCCACTCTTCTCTATTGCAGGGACTCCCACCAACTCCTCCAATTTCCTTCCTCACACCATGGGCTCTGTCTCCATCCCCAATACCATTGACCCTGATTATCACCCCCCCCACACCCCCACCCCCGAGCAGAGACTCTGTGGCTCCTCCTTACTCTCCCCACCACCCTTGGAGAATACTCCATCCCCTCCCCCATGCCAGGTGTTCTGTGTGCACCTTCATTCTCCCTTCCCCTTATGCCTGGATCTATGTGCCCTACTTCCTCCTCTTTCCCCATATCTCCCCTCTTTCCCCTTCCCCCACTCTTCTCTGGGTTCTTGCATTCCCCATCACCACCACTCACCCCCAGTCCTCTCTGGGTCCCTGTTTCCCCACCACTGTTGCCCCTTCACCACTACAAACTCTTCCCCGAGACTTTCTTATTTCTGTTAGTCTGGGGTACAGGCAGTCTCCTCACACAGCAAGCCAAGTTGCTGCCCCTGTTATGCATAGGTTGCAGAGAGATCTGTCTGCCTGCAGTACTGGGTAGTCTGTGGGCCCTGATACTCCTGTGTATCAGGCTTTTCCAGTAGTCTGATTTGCACCAAAATCAGCGTGGTTGTGCCTACAGATGCCTTGAATATGCTCCGAAATATTGGACTGATCAGATGTGGCATTCAAAATCTATCTCATTACAGACAAACAGATGCCATTGAGTTGAATGTAATGCCTCTTTGAGTGGCCAAAAACCCAGAACTATTTCATTTAGACCTTGCCCGAGAAACTATATTTGTATAACTTTAACCTGCTTAATTGCATGATTAAAAAAATTAATCATGATTAGTCGTGCAACTAATCTAACTGTTAAACAATAGAATACCATTTATTTAAATATTTGATGTTTTCTACATTTTCAGATATATTTATTTCAATTACAACACAATACAAAGTGTACCGTGTTCACTTTATATTTATTTTTGATTACAAGTATTTGCACTGTAAAAAAAAGAATTTTTCTATTCACTTAATACAAGTACTGTAGTGCAATCTCTTTATCATGAAAGTTGAACTTACAAATGTAGAATTATGTACAAAAGAAACTGCATTCAAAAATAAAAAAATGTAAAATTTTACAGCCTGCAAGTTCACTCAGTACTACTTCTTGTTCAGCCAGTCACTCAAACACGTTTCTTGTTTACAATATTACCTGAAAGTAAGAACAGGCATTCTCATGGCACTGTTGTAGCCAGCATTGCAAGATATTTACATGCCAGTTGTGCTAAAGATTCATATGTCCCTTCATGCTTCAACCACTATTCCAGGGGACATGCGTCCATGCTTATGACGGGTTCTGCTGGATAACAATCCAAAGCAGAGCAGACCGACGCATGTTCATTTTCATTATCTCAGAGGCCATCAGCAGAAGGTTGATTTTATTTATTTATTTTATTTATTTTTTGATGGTTCAGGTTCTGTAGCTTTTGCATCGGAGTGTTGCTCTTTTAAGACTTCTGAAAGCATGCTCCATTTTAGAAGGCACTTTAGATTCTTAAACCTTGGGTCGAGTGCTGTAGCTATTTTTAGAAATCTCACATTGGTATCATCTTTGCGTTTTGTGAATTCTGCAGTGAAAGTGTTCTTGAAATGAACAGTATGTGCTGGGTCATCACCTGAGACTGCTAAAACATGGCGGAATGCAGGTAAAACAGAGCAGAGGACATACAATTCTCCCCCAAGGAGTTCAATCACAAATTTAATTAACGCATTAATTTTTTAATGAGTGTCATCAGCATGGAAGCATGTCCCCTGGAATGGTGGCCAAAGCATGAAGGGGCATACCAATGTTTAGCATATTTGGCATGTACATACCTTGCTATGCCAGCTACAAAAGTGCCATGCAAATACATGTTCTCACTTTCTGATAACACGGTAAACAAGAAGAGGGCAGCATTATCTCCTGTAAATGTAAACAAACTTCTTTGTCTTAGCGATTGGCTGAACAAGTGGGACTGACTGGATTTGTAGGCTCTGAAGTTTTACATTGTTTTGTTTTAGAGTTATGTAGTTATGAAACAAAGCAGTTATGTAACAAGTTCTACACTTGTAAGTTGTACTTTCGCAACAGATTGCACTACACATTGTGAGAGTTGAACTGAAATACTATTTCTTTTATCATTTTTACAGTGCAAATATTTGTAATCAAAAATATACACTTTGATTTCAATTACAACACAGAATATAATATATACAAAAATGTAGAAAAACATCCAAAATTTAATAAATTTTAATGGTATTCTATTAAACAGGATTAATCATGATTAATTTTTTGAGTTAATCGCGTGAGTTAACAGCAATTAATTGACAGCCCTATTTTTTAGTACTATTTTCAGAAAATCCCAAACATGTTGATTAGGGAAGCTCTTCAGACATGACACAATAGGACTGGAAAAGAATTCTTTTAACTTATCTGCTTGAAAAAGTTAAGTTTCATTCAGCTGTTCTTATTAGTATGCTCCAGACAGTTCCATAAGAAAGAAATCATTCATGTGTAACACAGTGGAAAGAACTGAGATTTTACAACTCAAAAAAAAAATACTTGCAATCCATCATGTCTACGTTTTTGGATGTTAACGTTTCCTTCATGTGTTTTCCAGCTGCCTGGCTGCTTTGTAGTTCTAATATGCACCTTTCATTTAATTTTAGGTTCTGCTTTGGTATTGCTGACTCAAACCACAGAAGCCCAAAGAAGGGGGGAAGTGGAATAAAATACTCAATTATCAAGTGCCAGAGGAAAATATCAAACTGTCCAATGAAAACTACTGTTACTGAGGTGTAGATTGCTCCTGCAGTGTATAAATGAGTGTGTGCAAAAAAGCTGTGCACCAAAAGCCTACCAATCCTAGTATTTGCAAGGTTTCTTCACCGAGAAGAACTTCAGACTAAAAACCTTAACTCTTGCTTTTAAGAAAAACAAATCAACAACAACAAAAAACCAGGAAAAGAGTCAGCAAGGATTCACAATGTTTCTGTCTTGTTTTGGCCCAGTCACCAGAATATTATGGGAATTGTATCTGATGGCATAGATTACATTTTTCCTTTTCATCATGGAAGTTAGTGATTTTAGACTTTGTCTCTGCAATATCAAATGATTAAGACACATGCTGGAAGTTACTTTTTTTTTTTTTTGGCTGACATAACTTTGATGTGACTTTAAAAAAAACAAACAAACAAAAAACATGGTTTCATTCCCTTTTTAAGTCTTTGTGGGGATGCTCTTGGAAAGGTATGAAAAAGAAAATCCGCTTTTTGGTGGGGGACCCGAAATCTTATAAGAATGCCCAGAAGGGGTTTAAT